GCTATGTCTTGTTAGTTCATTATTACATTAAAATCATTATCTCTTTTTGAACACAACGTTTTATTTTCCATTCTGACTTATATACCAAAAACTCTTGCTCCATCGGATATGCAGAACACCGGCTTGCATTGAAGCCCATAGATTTCCAAATGATCAAGTACGCGGCGAACAGGTATTATATTTTCATTCACAAAAATGAACGTCATCAATGTTTGATGACGTTCCTTTCCTGATTGTTTCGTCTTGTGATAGCACTTTGTCCAACACCGTTTTCATTATGACTGGCGCAACATTTAGTCCGAATCCCAAATGTGTTAAACAAAATCTTTGTCCATGGAACACAACAGTTTGGTAAGCCCAGAGTTTCTCATCACAACGATAAATCAATTATTGAAATATTTTCCTTAAACTGTCTCCAGTTGTGAAGTTTGTCAGCACTCACATAGGGATGGCAATCCTGGGATCCCGAAATTCTGGGATTTCACGCAAATTGTTCATTCCAAAGTCCTGGGATTAGTCTCCGAAATTTCCCAGTATTTCAGGAACGTCAAAAGAAAGTAAAAGTTAATATAGTTTAAGCTTATAATTGTAATGAAGTAATTTCTACATTGTCTTTATAGTAGTTTGTTTGGTTGTGTAACTATTTATTCTCTTTGAAATGTTTTCCTTTTAAAACTCTCTTTTTCTATATTTTATTAAGGATAAAAACTCGAAACATTATTGCTTGTTTACAAAATATGTACGATTAAACATATAAAATATAATATTATACTCTCTCTCTCTCTCTCTCTCTCTCTCTCTCTCTCTAATATTAAAACTAGTATATAATAAAAAATAAAATTTTAGTGCTTGCTGGTGGAAGGAGCACATGTTTTTAATAAAAGTTTTTATTAGAAGGTATATCTTCTATTAAAGTTTTTTTCTATTAAATTAACTTTAATAGAAAAAAACTTCAATAGAAGGTATACCTCAGGCCTGTAGCAACCGGGTGGGCAGCAGGGGCACTTGCCCCCCCCTCCCAATAATTTTTCAAATAAATAATTTTGAAGAAATTGATTAAAAAAATAACTTCTATTAAAGTTGTTTTAATTTTTATTTCCATTTTTGTTTCCATTAATTTCAAATATGTGCGTGATTTACAAAAGTTTTTTTTAAGTCAGTTTAATTAATAAAGTTAACAAAAAAACAGGTTTATTAAATCACAAAATTTTCTTAGCGTCTGTTTAATTAATGAAGTCATGCATATTTATATATTTTTCTAATTATAATTTTTACTTATACTGTGTTACGATTTTAAGGTATTGTTTTATAATTTGTTTTATAAGTACTTAGGTTCATTAATACTTAAAAGTCTTAGATAAGATTTAATATAACAAAATTAAGTTAAAACATGTTTGTAACTTAGTTTTAGGTTCATTGATATATTAAATATTTTAATTATATTATCACTAAACTAATCATTTTTAAGTGTTTGATGAGTACTTAAAAAGTATTCTTAGTGTTTTTAATAGCGTTTATAGTAGCGTTTTTTTCTATTTAATCCTGGGCACATATTTCTCAATCCTGAAATCCCGGAATTGAAAATTTCTGGGATTTTTGCCATCCCTACACACGCATCTGTGTTTGCAGTGGGTGCTTCAATAAACGTATTCAGCTCCCTGAATTCTAATACTGGTCATACTTTTCCTTTGTTTTGCTGCACCACTGCCATCAGAGGAACTAAAGCCTTTATTGAACTGTGTTTCTTTAAATCGTATTTTTACAGCTATTTTTTCACTATTCACCCTTCAGTTTTTTTTTCATAATCGTGTTATATGCCAACAGGGATATTATATTCAGCAATCTTATTCATTAGAGTTTCAGGCTGAGAATTATTATTCCATTTCCACGCCATTATCCATTCTCAATTTTGTTTCTCAAACGAAGCTGTGAATTCCTGAGCTATTATATTAAAATTACTGACATCTTTTAGCATATCACTTCTTTCACCGACTTGTTTCGATTACTATTTCTTTGTAAATGGCGATCTCTTGCAAAATGATTGGGGAGTTTACATTCATAGCAAATTTGTTGTGTTTGATCTTCAAGCAACCTCAGCTCAGCACATCTTTTTGTTGCAGCAGCAACAAAATTTTCATTTGTTTCATTGTTCCTTTCTTCAATCATGATTGCTCTTACTTGCGCAAGTATTTGTACACTAGTAAGATTGTCACACGAGAACTTGATCTCAACATCCGTCAAGCTTCCTCAGGGAGTCCAGAATCAAAGGCACATGCAATTGCTCTGTCTGGTAGCCCACCAATCAGCGTAAATAATCTTCGCCAAATAAACATCAACTGCCTCTCCATGCTTTAACTTTCTTGTAATGAACTGTTTGTAAGCTGTAAGTGCATCAACTGTTAATTGTTGCAAATGTGTCATTCATGAGATGGAGAGGAACAACACTCACTAGATTTGTTACACCAATTAGTTGGTGTAACAAATTTGCTGGAAAAAGTTG